GAATGAATTTATGAGCACAGATTTAAAAAAAGAGTCTGAGAAACATATTCATTTTGTGGAGAAGAAAGCTAGTTAGGGGCAAGATGTATTTGATGTCCCTGCTCACTGCAGGGGGGTTGGACTAGATGGCCTTGAAAGGTCCCTTCCAACCCAGACCATTCTATGAGGGAACTCTTTTTACAGCTAAATACAGTTAAACCCAGGCTAGAAGTCCATGTCATGTCCATGGTCAAGATGTGGTGTGGTCTTGGTACTCTATGTCTTGCTCTATTTCTCACCTGTTTGACACTACTGGCTTCGTTATTTGTAAAAATCCTGCGGGATGGTTGGCTCTGCTGTACTTTTATGCTCTTGGGGTACCCTCAAGATAAAGACATATCCCGGTGCACTCTTTTTGTGCCAAAGCCCATGTGTATCAAAGAACCCCTCATACATTCTCAAAAATGTAGCAGTTCTTAAGAATTTAATCCTAATAAAAGAAAGTGAAAAGTGTGTTCTTAGTTTTGCTGAGAAACCAAGTATTCCAACCTATATTCAGGAATCTGAAGAGGGACAAGGTGTGGCAAAGAAAACTCTGAGAAGAAATGGAATTTAACTTTGCTTCGAGTATGAGAAAATTGGTTTTGAAAAATTGTGTATCGGAACTGAAGTTGGAACATGATACTTGAGCTGCAACACATCTTCAGAGAGGACATCTTCAAGGATTTGCTAAAAGTGCTTTGTATATTGGTACAGCACATCCATAATTTATTTAATTTAGTCAGGTTTCTGGAAGTGAGTCAGATCATGATTCAATTATTTTCAGCACAGACAGCCTCTGAAGTGTCATCATCAGTATTATCAACAGAAGTGCTCACAAACTGATGCCACTGTTTTCCCCCATCTCTTGCAAGTGATATGGCAGTTTGAAACTGTAATACCTTCCACCGTGGCTGTGACTGTAGCCCAGGTCTGTGACATACCATGAATCTATTGAAAGCCATTCCTGATGTCGACATGCCTTTTAATTGAGGGGACATCTTTCTGAAGCACAGTCTGTAGATGTGGATTGTGAGGATGTTGTTGTATAAAGGCTTCTGAGAAAAACCTCAGAGATGAGAATGGTGGTAGCAATGAAGGAAACTCAATTAATTCACACTGTATTATGACTTAAAAGAAACTTAGTCTTTCCGAAAGTAGAACATGAGGAGAGTGGAAGAAGGGGTGGAAAAAGGACCTTTGTGGTATCATCTGTCAAACTCACAGCTGGGAAGATTTGAAAGGATTGTGAGCTCCAAGTGAGTAAAATAAGAGACCTTTCAGAAAGTTCAAGTAGCCTGGAAAATCACCTTAAACAATATTTAAACTTGCTTATAAAAGAAACTAGGTTGCTACAATGTGTGAATATGTTTTTTCCAATGTAATTTAGCCTACACAGACATTTAAGCAAAATTCTTAAAACATTTTTACCAGTTACTGGGGATGTGGCTAGCAAAATTGCTTGGTCATCCAGTTGTGAAATATCCAGTGTATCTGCAAAGCATTTTGAGGGTATATAGTAGAAGAGAGGACGGGTTAATTCGCTGTGGGGTTTCTTGTGAAAGTTTCATGTGTTCTAACAATTTGGAGTACGTTTGTTTTGGTAGCAAGTTAATAAGAAAACAAAATCAAAGAAAAACTTTCAAATATGTTTGGCCTCAGCTCTATGAAACAAAAATGTGTGATGCCATGTAACGAGGAGGTGCCTGAACTGAAAGCAGTTGGCATATGGGAGAACGTCAGAGAGAGATGCTGTACTTGCTGGGCACGGTCCTTACCGGCCATGGGTGCCCCTGCGGGCACTTGTCAGAGATAGGGTTGGCCTTCCAGTGGTGATGTTCTGAAGATTGCAGGTCACATGAAGCTCCCGAGCTGTTTCACGTGTCCCAGTGTCCCAAGGGAAGCTTTAAATGACATTTTAACAAGTCTGATGACAGTAGCCATAAACTCAAATCTGCACATAGCCAAAAGCTGGTGTACTGCGTATCTCAGTCAGGAGGTTCATTGGGTTAGTTCACAGGCAGGAGGTGAGACTAGATCACTAAAGGTATCCTCAGCTCTGTAGCGGGATGGGGAAGATGTTCATCGGCAGCCATGTCCTAGGCAGTCCACCAGCACTGACCTCAGCAGCTGCTCTTTTCTTCCATGCCGGGGAGACAGATTATCGGGCAGTTCCTCCTGCCAGCACATCCCTGCTGCTGAACTTCTGGGCTTTGACTGCTAGCAAACCCTCTTCCGCTCAAAAGCTGCAGGTCAGCTGTTCCCAACTTAAATATTAACAGATTCCTTAGGAAGGTCAAGAACGACTTGCAAACAAGTCACTGAAAGCGTTGGTGCCTGAATGGCAACCCTTGCCTACTAATTAGTCGTAACAAACAGAGGGGATAAAGATGTAGTACTGAAGTACGTCCGAGTACGCGAACGCCAACCCACTGGTGGGTCAGAGGGGAGGATGGTGCCACCTGCGCAGTGAAGGTGAGACAAAGCCGTAAGTACCTAAGCCACGGTGCTGCTGGGAGAATCTTTGCGAGAGGATCCTCTCTGGAGCACAGCGGGACCTGGATTATTCATCCTCAGCAGATCTCTCTGCTCAAAGGTAGATAGAAAACGATAAATTCCCACTGGCCGTGCCTTCTGCACCTGCAGCAGCTTCACGTGCTGAACCCTGCAAACGCAGGAGGGGTTGGCGTGGGCTGGCTTGCCAAATTCTGCACATTCCCCTCAGTTTTGGTTGTGAATACAGACCTTTCCCCCTCCCGCCTCCCCCTTGTTGAACGCGATGCTGGAGCTTTCAGTTCAAACAGACCTATGTGGGTATATGAAAAAAAGCCAACTTTCACTCAGCTTCATGTCAAGCCACTCATCTTGCAAGCCAGGCCCACTAGGAGATTAAGGGGCATTCGTTAACGTTAATTTGTTAATTAAGGGGCCTCTGTTTAAGGGGCATTTCTCAAACTGCGGTTCGTGGGCTGGTTCCTGCCCAAGGAAGGTAGACACGTTCCAGTGCCATGCAATTTTACCACAGGTCTGCGTACAGGCTGAGTCATGATGATTCGGTACAGGAACCTTTTTAGAAGAGGGTTTAAAAATATACTTTTATGGTTTCTCTAATAAAAGATTTCTAAAAGAAGGTACATTACCTTTAGCAGCCAAAGGCAATCAGGTTGTGTTTTTTATTTAAAAAAAAAAAATCTAAAATAGAATATAGCATCAGTTAAATGTTTCCCCTCTTCGGTGGCTAAAAACACTATGAAATATTGGCCAGCTCTTTGCTTGATTGTGTGCTGGTTTGTTTCAAAGGAAGCATGTTCAAATACTAATTTGGGGTAAAAAACCCAGTTTTTCAGTTAGTCTGTGCTTGCATGGAGGATGAAATGACATAGGGAGCTGTATGTGTTCTCCTCAAAAGCCTAGATGATTTATTTTGTGAGTGCAAATGTATTTTAAATATAAACTAGAGAGAATAAGAGGTTGTGGGTGGCTTTTTTTCTATTATTTTCAGGTTACCTGTAAGAAATTTTGTTAGGAAAGTAAAAAATAGCCTATCATTTAATCAGTTATAAAAGTATAACCCTATATAACATTCTTTCTTGGTAAGAAAAGATTATAATTTTTACTTAAAAAGTTTCTTTCCATATCCCATCCATACAGAAAAAACAAGATAAGAATGTAACAAATATATTCCAAACATTATTTTTTTTCAAAGTATGAATAGAAATATTTTGAGCCATTTACAAACAGTTAGCACATTTTAGAGGGGAGAAGAAGATAATATACTTATTTTTTTAAATATATGAGGCTTTAATTTTTCTTGTTTCACTTATCCCTCTCTCTGGAATTACCATCTTCCTCGGTTTTGCTGAAGTATTTGTTTATAATGTTTTTATCACATGTAGAAGGTGGTTAGTTAGATTGGTGTAAAAAGCATCTGTTTTTCTTCTCCAGATTGATTGTTACCAAAGCTGTAAATAGGTTCCATAGACTTGCCAATGGGTTATTAAAAAGGAGACCTCTCAGTTCAATTTTCTTCTACTGTGGCTTTTGTCATGTTTGTATTTTACTGGCTTTCCACTCACCATAAAATATTCTAGGCGAGACAAAACATAACTTTCAAACATTTTCCCCTAAAATGCTCCCCAAGCCCCAAAGTAACAACCTGCAAACCCCCCTTTTTTTTTTTTAGTTCTCAGTGTTCTTGATGAACCTGTAAAATCTCCAGTAAATTAAACCACTGTTTGTTTAATCCCTTTGCCCATGGATTTAGAGCAGCCATAGAACTAAGTCATTCGTGATGCAGTCTCTTCCTTGGCATTGGTATCTATTTTAACAGTAACGCACGGGCATCCCTCACTCTTTGTTGTGAATTAAACCCACACGGGATGGTGTAATAAGCTTCGTAACAATTCGGGGGTGTTGATGATAACACTTTATTGTCAACGTGGTCATACTCGTGGTGATAGGAACAGCTAAGTAATCGGCTAAACGAGGTAGCTCCTTAGAAGTAGGTTACTAGAGTGTGTAGCCTCTTTTTGTGTTACGGTGCTACCTCTGCTTAGGACCTGCTGTCTGCCTTTGGCCACGAATGACAGCCGGTCCCAAGCGTTGCGACTAAGCATGAATGCAGGCTTTCTTGATACCACATGGTAGCGTATGCACCACCATCATCTACCCTGTATCCTAAAAGTAACATTTAGATTTGAGGCTTCTAAGGCAAATTGATTGACCTTCTCAAGATGCCTATTAAAAACAACCCTCTGTCCTTCCGAGGAGGAAAACTGTATGTGAGGGAATCGTGTACATCAGTTAAACTCTTAGTAACAGAAAATACGTGGGTACCTCTCTTCTGAGAATGTTCAAGGCTTTTATGTGGAAGGTAAAGGGGAGCAGGCAGGGCAGCTATCATACAAAGGCTCATTCTTAATGTAAATTAAACACTTAAAATTAATTGCTGTGCTTATTTACTTTTCAACTGTTTTTTGCAGGTCCTCCCATTATTCTATGGGCAGTCGAGCTTTTTCCCATGACAGTATTTTTATACCTGATGGGAGAACAGAGAGCGAACAGGCCATCCAAGCAATGTCACAGGAGAACGTTTTAGGAAAAGTCAAAACTCTTCAGGTAAGAAATTGTAAGTGGGAAAAATACTTAAAGTGCGGTAGAAAACAGTCTCCAGAATTTGTTAAATGTGGGTAAAGGTGAGTTGGTTTTCCATAGCCTTGGGGCAGTTTCTCAGCCATGTAAGTTGTCTGGCCAAAAGACATGTAAATAATTTAGATAATCTGCAGAAGATCTAGGTTTTGGTCTCGAAAGTTATGGCAGTGATGCTGCAAGCAAATCTGCAGAAATGTCTGCATCTTGTGGAGCTCATTTGAATTGAACTCATGGTTTTGGCATGTCCTGATCTGTATCCCTGAGACCTACAGCTGTGGTAGAGCAAAAAAATGAAGGTGGTGTTGGTGGCAGGGAATGGCATGCATAGTAAGACTTCTTTGCAAAGTTGATTTAATTATCCTTTTATATGTTATTACATTTTTTTCTCCTTCTTTTTCTCCCTGTCTTTTCAATGGTTCTCATGAAAGATGGATATGTTTTATCTCTCCAAAGCAAACAGCACATAAGTAACTACATCAACAACACATTTGGGTATTTGTTTCTAAAGAGCTTTACATGATCTGCTTTCCCTTCTTTTCCAGAACTCTGTCCCATTAGTAGTCTAACTAATTTTTTCTTTAGTTCTTGTACATCTGTAAGATTCCCAGCTCTGTGCCTATCTCGACCTTGAAAGAGCTGTCTTTCAGAAGCACGTTTCAGTTCAGGATGCTGACAGGTCTGGTCAAAATGCTGATAAATTTTTAACACTGTATAGGTGCCATTACGCTGTGGCTGACTAGTAAAATACCATTGATTTCTTTTACGTCCAAAGTCTACCTGTGGTCCATCTTTTCTGGTGAGTGAGAGATCACGCACAGTAGACAGATCCGACCTTCAGGATGAAATTGTTCCTTCTTCCTGCCCAGTGCTGCCAGCAGAGAGAGCACCTGAACGGCGATGGCTGTGCTGACTGTGGAGGAACTTGGAAGTCGAAACCACACTAGGACAGCTCCAATTTCTCTGTGCTGTTTTTTCAGCTTAAATTTCCTTGGGTCAGGTAGATTCAATGCATGCTACTTTCCAGGCTAGAAACCATTATATTTTAAATGACTGCTGACTCTGGGCAAAGATGTGAAGTAGTTGGACCTGTCTTGCAGAATGCTTGAGCATCCTTTGAATACAAAGGACACTCACTTCTGTTGGATCCCACTGACTTCTGTAGGATCTGTTGTCTTGGCTTCGGTACGTTAGCTTTTCTCTGAATACCTTTTCGCTTTGAAGGAGTGGCCTCTCCCATTTCCAAACTCACCTTAAAATTTCTAATGGAAATTGTTGCCTTCACTAAACTCAGAGACATGACAAAAACTGCAGTTACTGCAGTTGCTAACAATCATCTTCACTAAGCAAACGGTAACTCAAGAAAATCAAAGCAAAAATAATCACCCTTGGAAGTCACAGAGTAAATAGCCCGTGATAAGCTCTTGCCTGTGTGAACTTTGCATGAGCCTTTTTTGATGCGGTTACTTGCATGTATCTTAAGGGGGAATGTTGTTTCAGCTGTTTGATGTCAGAAGTGTGCTTACCTTTTTAAAGTTGAAGGACAGTGGTTCATTTTTATCACTTTAATATAGCTGCAACCCAGCCTGTAACAACATCCCTGATTCAGCTTTTTCTACTCTACTGCTGATGGTGATATCCAGAGCATTGTGGTATCCAGCCCATTCAATCAGAAAGCAAATGCATAACAGATTGTAAATGCCACTTTTAACTATTTACATATTTACACAGAAGTTATATATTCATCTAAATGTCCATGTATTTTTTTCATAACCCCATGGAAAGGCTCCTTAATAACAAGCCCAGGGGCCACCTCTTGTACCTGTAAAACCTGCTGCCCAGCACTTAACTGTCCCCACCATTTCCCTAGCCATCACTTCTGCAACTCCCTGAGTTTTAGGACAAGATCATGCCAAAATCCCATTGCACATTTTTAGGTTGACCTTAAGAGTTGAGTCTGATCAGTTATTTGGACTATCATTCCTGTCTGAAGGTTTTATGCACTCCATACCCCATCCTCTTTTTCTGCTGTAGTGTCCTGAAAGGAGACTGTTTACCGCGAGATTTTGCGGTCACGGAAAACACTAATACTCAGTCCCCAGTTATCAGAAGCTTGTATCTCCTTTGAAGGCCCTTTCTGCAAGCTCACTCCCACTGGGAACGTCTGTATTTCTTCAAGTGGTGAAACAAGAAGAGACAGTCATCTCTTCTGAAGAGTGCTGCACTCCTTAAAACCCGTTCTGTGGCCAGTTCCCAGTAAAGTTATTGCTATCCCAGCAATGTTACTGTGGTTTTGCCCATGCTTGAATGTCATGGTGGAAGCAGAGCGTTACCAGTTTCCATTTGCCTGGAAAGATGCTCCTCAATGAAGAAGTGTTGCCTGTGCTGGCTTTGAACTCACTGTATTCCAAACAGAGATCAAAAGCTCTGCAGATTTTAACCTTATTCAAGATTTTTTTGTGGGGTGGTACAGTGAACATTCCTGGAAAACTTAAATCTTTTTTGGAAGAGGCACTGTGCTTACAAGCCCAACAGATAGCATGGTGAAAAGGGTTTCTGAAATCGGAATAGGAATGCAAGCCATTGAACACTGATGGTGCTGGATCTCATTCTGCTGACCACCAAAGTGTTTCCCCCTTCTCGCCTTGCATTTCTGCTGACTCTGGAGTGTTGACGAACCCACAAAAAATGTTGTGTGATGGTGTAAAACTCTGTAGCAGTCTGGGCAGCTGGCCAGCATATGCCCTGGTTCAGTGTCTTACTGTAGGAATTCTCTGTGATTATATGTTCTTTCTGAAATAGCTCTCATTTCTTTTTATTGATTTTCAGATTGGCAGCATTCATCTTATCAGGCTTTCTGTAAATGGGTTTCGTCACATTCAAAGGTTTTGGCGTGTGCTGAGAAAAGCCCGACTTCTTGTTAACCTCCAATAGCCTTTGTGTATCCTGAAGTTATTTTGTGTTGGCTCAAGCCATCTGCTGTTGTAAAAGCAGTCTTTTCCTTGTCCTTTGGATCTGCTGAGATTTATCATTACCTAGTTTTTAAGACCCAGCGTATGTAGAAAGCCAGAACCTGGTACACAGAGATGTACACAGGCACTGGTACTCTTAGTGCTGAACTCATTTGGCTGCTTGGGATCTGGCGCTTTTCTTCTCATACAGGACTGTGAATGAGACACAAGGAATGTTTAAAATCTAAATCTAGCAGTGTGTCAGAACAAACCTAAAAGGAAATCTGGGAGCTTGTTTTTACATCCTTCCCTTCCATAAGTTAGTGGGGTTTTTTTTTTCCTTACATCAAAGTGTGTTAGATCCACTTCCTCGCATTTTGCAGCTGTGACTCTCCTTCCTAGTACTGACATTTGCCAGAAATGGTCAGCAAATGAACAGAAGACAGTTTTTATTTCAGGCCCACAAAAACTGTAGCAAGTACAATGGAAACTTGTTTTGAGTGTTAGTACTGTGATGCATCTAAACCATTATCTCCCTTTTGCTGTGGCAATACCATGGAGTGGCACTGCTGCTGCCTCTGGAGGCAGGAGGACAGCTTGTTCTCCACCTCTTGCCTTCACTGGAAGCTTCTCAGGTCATCTGGCATCCGTGAGGCTGTGGCAAGAAATACTTGACTGTGACATACGGCTTACTGCATTTAGGAACCACTGGGCTACATCTTTTCTGTTTCATGTGGCCACATGGTTTAAAACAAACCAACCCCCTGCTCTGTAAATTTGTAAAACACACACTTATTACACAGACATTAATTATGATAAAGTATGTCTTGGGAATCCATACTTCTTGGTCAAATTCTAAAGGACTACTTTTTAAATTCACATTTCTCTGGCTTTGTAATGACGAATGTCCCCAATAATTTTCTTCCTGTCAGACCTAATGACTGTTCAGTTTTGGATTCCATTTCTTTCAGTCATTGACATATCTTAGCTAATGATCAAGCCAGTGCTTCCCCTACTGTGCGTTGCACATCTGTATTCTACCAGCCATTCCCACTGTTGTTTCTGTTTGATGTTGCCCAGATCTCAACAAGGCTACGCAGTCGTTTGCTAAACCACAAAGCTCTTATCTTTTAACTTCATGCTCTGCACTTTATAGAATTTGGAGTGAATTTTCACTGCATGATTGCCCAGCTTTGTATTTCTTACAGTTAATTTCTTTGTTGCCAATATTTTCTAGTGCCACTGCAGCTGTTTTCTTCACATTTGACAATTGTTTTCACTTCATAAACTGAATTTATAATTTTTTCTTAGACATTCTAGCATTTCTGGGGCAGACTCCCTTTTTCCTGTGATCGATCGTGTTAAGCCCTGGAAATGTGCTTCCATTTTCCTTACTCACATCTGCTTTGCTTTTGGTATTCTGCAAGGAGAGACTCAGGTGACAAGTGCCACAGATCCTGTAAGTATCTTCAGGCTTCTCCAGAAAGTCTTGTCCTTAACATATGAGCACCTGTAAGTGGTCCATTGCCACTGTATACTTGAAATCTTCATTTGCATCTGGATTTGCTTCAAATACATATCTCTACAGATCCATATACAGTTTGTTTCCTCACTGTTCTTCTACTTTGGACTCTCTCAAAATCTTTCTTGAAGTGTAATGCTTCAAACCACATGCTGCTCCAGCAATGGAGAGTAGAAAAGTTCCCTCCTTGCATCTTATATACAAAACACCTGTGGTAATACTTCTTAGTTTCCTCCTTTTTAGTATGTTTACATGTTAATTTTACATCTAGTTTACTTTCTAAAGCCTTCAGCTATACCAGTATAACTTCTCACACAATGCTTTCCAATTTATTCTCTCTTTTTGATTAAAAAAAAAACAAACTGCTTATTTTTACTTGTTTAGATATGCTGCAGATTTTTCTGTTTGGATGAAGAAATGGACTCACTTCCATAGAAAGAACAATTACATAAACTGTGTTTTCAACCTACAAAAAAAATGGCAAGAGAGAGAATATGATAGAGATGCATGAAATCATGATTGGAATTGAGAAAATAGAGGACAATTGCTCAGTCTTTCACAGCATGAGAAGACAGGAGCATCAGTTGAAATTAGTAACACTATCAAACAAAAACAAATATTTCTTTACGCATAGCTAGACTGTAGAACTCATTGTCATATAGCACTCATTCATGAAATATCTATAAGAGTTCAAAGACCAATGAAACAAATTCATAAAAGAAAAGTTCCCAACTGGCTATTGACTCCAAAAGACCTCAGATGCCACAAATCATTGGAGCGTTTACAAGGAAAATCTCAGTACAGGCTCACCCTGTTCTTATATATTCCCAAGACATTTGATTTTTTGGGTCACTCTGAGAGACTGCACAGGACCAAGTAGAATCTCAACAGTATGGCTCTTCTTAGGACAAGTATTATGAAGTCATTATGTCACAATTATAGCTAACTAGAAAATGTAATTTCATTTGTTTATATATCTGGGCATTGCAATCAGATGTTAAAATAAGTATTTGAGTTGAAGGCAAAATATGACCAGCATTTCTTGTAAGACTTGTTTGAACGGAATCAGCTGCAATAGTACGCTCTGTTTCAATGATTTTTAACCGAACAGAGTAAGCAGCTCAGTGGATACGGTTTTGGATTCACTCCAGGCACAGAGCCATAAGAACGATGTGATTTCAGGGGGCTGAATCCAACACGTGTGCAAGCAGGCATGTACACAGAAGAGGAGCCAAACTGGAGTGAAAGAGGAGATGTACAGCCCGATCTGGGCTCCCTGCCGGTTAATACGGAAAGTTTGTTCTGTGGCATTTCCTATGCAAACACAGAGAGTGCTTTGAAAGTCTAAGCTTTTTAATTTGCTGCAGGTGCCAACTAATGCAGAGCACTTTAACTTAGGAGTTTTATTTCTGAAGTTATTAATGGTAAGCTGGTGTAAAGATGTCAGTTAAGTAGTATCACATTTTAACAAATTATTTTGCATTAAATAGAATTGGGCGGCCTGTGTCACAGCCCAGTTACTGAGGAAGATTTTAAAAACTGGGGGTGCAAACTTCTAATTTTTTTTTCCAAATTCCCAGCATCTCTTTGCCTTTATTAGCTGTGCAGCCTTGCCCCTCGCCTCACGCTGAACGGCACCACACCAGTAGCCACCCGCGTTGGGTGTGAATGGGCAAATTCTCATGCACCTCTTGAGTCTCCTAGAAGAAAATTCAGGGGTGAGGTAAATCTGGCCTGGAGCACAGCTTGATGATCCCATCCTGAGGCTCCCCTGTGTGTGTGGTCCCTCCAGCCGCTATTTCATGGTGTAGTTGTCACACGTGGTAGCCATCCTGTTTTGGTGCTGAGAATGGTTTGCAAGTCCTGCGGAAGTACCTGCCCACTGGCTGCAAACTGAGGGACTGGGAAAGCCTGTTGGAGTTGATAAGGCTGGAAGTGGAAGGGACAGGCAGGAAGCATCCATCTGCTTCTAGATGACAGCTAGATTTTGGAGCAGGACGGTGATTTCTGACTGCGAGATTACAAGCCTTCTTGCACAAACCAAAAGTTCATTTAACTGAGACCAATATGCATCTACGGACATTTCCAAAAGGGTATTTCAACACCCTGTGCATGACTGTGCAATGGTAGAAGAATAAAATATCATGCCTGCAACTTCTAATGACCAGAGTTGCAAATAATCCTCCTTAGGCAACCATCATCCACATGCTGTCAGCACAGGGACTTCTCAAGTACAGAGGATTTATAGTTTTGTGTTCAGAAATAAATGTCTAACTGAAACTTTTGAGAAATGTAAAGTAGATGCTCCTTTTCATGGAATATGGTCTTTTCTCAGTGGCCTTGCAGCTTAAATTGGTGTGTCTCCATCTCTGGATTGGACTGTATGTGTTCTTCCAAGTAAAAGTTGTGGGTTTTTTCTTTCAGGGATGATGCCTTTTTAGGGTCTTTATGAATGACCAGGTAGAGAACGTATCTGTATGAGTTTTTTTGAGAGAGGAGAACTGCATTGTAGTTACAGTATAAGCACATTTTTAAAAAGAACAAGGAGCAGGTTTTACATTGCTCTTTGAAAGCAGTAAGAATAAATTTGCTCAGTGGTAACAATAAACTATTTCAGATTTTGACATTTGGTATTCAGCATCAGCTTTGGAGATCAGAATGCATTGAAAGAAATTGGCCAATGGAAAACTACTACTGGTGTTCATTTAAGCTACATTTGTTTAAAAAATTTCAATAAGTAACGCAGAAAAGAGCCTTCTGTCTTGGAAGGAATTTGAGGGCTACTCGAGTATCTTCTTCAATATTGAAACTAATTTATGCAAGTCTGAGCAAATAAACTTTTAAAGCTTCGAAGTAATTTAAACCCCCCCCGTGTACAGTCCATAAATATCGAGTATACTCTATTTCCTAGAAATATCAGGAAAAATAACATTTTAAACTTTTATATGCACAAACACACATTTTTACAGCAGAACCCTCAAGCATCCTTGATGACAATTAAAAAGGCCATTCTTTTTAAACTACAGGCCATTCTCCACAATAGCTCCATCACCACACAACTCCCACCGTGCATTGCACACACAATAGGTCAAGAACTTGATCAGAAGATCGAGAGAATAACAGATCATCCCTTCTTCCAAAACAAATTGCAAGCTATATGTACATGCATGCATGTTTTCACCATGGAACAGATGCACAAATCCTTAGTTTCTTGGGTTGTTGCTCAGGTAAGGCTGACAGTTCCAGTTTTCTGCCTGGGAGAACTATTTGTCTAGGAATATGGCTTTTGTAAGAAGTATGGAGCAGTCTCAACCCAGAAAACAACATTATCGCATTAAAAAGCTGTTCAGAAATAATCTTCTACTGGCATCAGAGGACCAGTAGGAATAGAGCAGAATTACAGCCTTCATGCTATCCAGTACAGACCTGTTTGCTCTCTGCAACTCCCCTTCACACAGTGGAAACATGTAAGATTTCAAGTCAGAGAATTGCACTGCTAACACGAAAGCTTGGGAGGACTTGGTGAAACCCTTGCCTTTAGACTATGGATGCGCTGCCATTAATCTAGGTGGGAATAAAAGTCTGCCGTTCAAAACTACCCGCTACGCCAAAATTATGTACTAGGTGAATTTCATTACTTTCTGCCAAATCCAAATGGGCATAAATGATGTGTAACTCAATGAGGAGTCTGAGAAAAAATATTCTAATTTAATAACCTGATTATGAGGGGACTCTGCATGTACTTTTTGTCTTAATAGTTCAATACAAAAATCTGGTAATGTTTTGGGATGATATGGATAAAATTTATATAAGAGTCTAGTCCACTGGGCAACAATGGCAAGCAAGACTGATCTGACCTGGATCCTTTTAGAGGTCCATCTGCTGCTACTAAAGCATATGTTCCCTTGTCAACTGCTCATCTAAGCCATGGTACTGATTCTGTTCTATCGGGGGAAAAAAAAAAATAATCTTTGTTTTACACGCTGTCTACTCCAATCTTCTGCAGTTCTCAGCAGCAAACTCATGTCAAGACTCCATCTATGTACCTGACATTCCCATTGAATAGAAGCTGCACAGCTGACTTGAGTATTGCTGAGCTGTAGATGTTCATGGTAACCCAAGACAGAAACGGGAGATCTCCTTTAGAGAAGTTTCTGTGCTTGAAAGAGACTAAAGCAAGAAAATAACTCCACGGTTCCTTCCTTCCTGAGAATGATTCCTTGAAATATTTCAGGAAGAAGATCTATCAACAAATGTTCCTTACTCCATTTGCTCCTTCTAGAGCATTTCTTTTAATGCTTTTGCGAAAAGTTCACTTTCAAAGACTGTATGATACATGTCTGCAGTAGCCAGGGTTGTAATTTCTTCAATTCACCCTACCAGAGGACAGGTATTATATGCTACTTATTTTACTTATCTTATACTTGATATAATTCAAGAGCACTTTCTTGTAACCCTTGAGAGAAGATTACTTCAACAATGGAAATAAATGATGGGAAAGCTCTTCTATCCATTCATCTACTGCATGTCCCCTGCATAACCTTCTTTGTGGAAAAGTGGTGATGTGGCAGTGCATATGAGCATGAGCGGACATGGGTTTGTGTGCTGTTCCTGTGAGATCAAGCATCTCAAAGAAGCTGGGTTTCGCCTCCTTTGAGAATTTGTCTCCTCTAAGGCAGGGTTATGTCAAACCCTTAACATTTAAAACTTACAACTAAACCTTACAGTAAGGATATCTCTAAGAACTACGGATGCATGAGATGCAGGGTGTGGGGGCTGGAGAAGAAAAAGGTTGCCTTTTGGGGCTGTTGTAACTTCTCAGCGTACACTTGGCTCGTGATCTTATTTCTTTGAAACAGTAAGGCTTCATAATTAGGTTGCATAAACAAAGTCTTAATCTAGGGCATAGATTAAAAAAAGAGAAGGAATGTTCCACAATTCACAAGAAGTTTTCAAAAGTTGGCAACACTGATGAGAACTCAAGTTGATCATCCAAAACCAGAAGTCATGCAGTAAATTCGTGACCTTGGTCACTTTGTGGGAAGAAAGTAGAGGGGGTGGCCACCATGTTGCAGCAATGTGAGCCTCAAGTTGATCTTTTTGCCCAGAGTCAGAAGTTGCCCTGAGTGTTTCTGTGCAGCTTTCACATGGAGAAAGGGCGCGTGCAGACTTGGCTTGTTTTGCTCATAATATAAATACCTTTTTTTCTTTTCTTGTTTTTCAGCAACAGTTGGCCAAGAATATAAAATTTGGGCAGCCTCCACAAATGACAGTTTCTGTGAGGACAATGGGGGAGGCAAACGCTGATATAGAAGAGGATGTGCTGCTCAGTAGCCCCATGGAGATTGAGACTCAGCAGGACACAGTGATCTCAGACAGTGGTTATAAAGTAAGCACTTTACGTCGACATATTCATGGCATTATAGCAGTATTAAGACAGTAAGGTTCACTGGGACGTAGCAGATATCTCCAGTGAGGCGTAGCTGAGCTCAGCGGGCTGTTTTATGTGGGTGGAATCTCTCAGCTCGTGCCTCTTGGACTGGTGAGAAGGGTGTGCTCTTGGCATCCCGAGCCGGGTCCCACAGAGCTACCGGTTTGAACATCTGCCTTGAACTTCCAGCAAAGCAGACACCACTTGCAGTGTAGCTAGAAGACAGGAGATTTTTCTGAGACAGAAGATGTCTTGAAATACGGACTTCCCAGCATGGAAAGTCATGGACAGCATCAAATGGCAAAAAGGAAATCATTCCAGAATGAGAAGGGTCTGGAACCTAAATCCGTAAAATCCTGGGTCTTGGGGTAAAATATCCATTTATCTCGTGGACAGGTACTGAAGGCAAAGGTGGAAATTTTGAGAATGCTCCCTAAATCCAAACATCCAGGATAATTCAAATAACGTATCGCTCTCTACAACTACCTGAAAGGGGGTTGTGGCGATGAGGGTGTTGGCCTCTTCTCCCAAGTAACCAGTGATAGGACAAGAGGAAATGGCCTCAAGTTGTGCCAGGGGAGGTTTAGATTGGATATTAGGAAAAATTTCTTCACCGAGAGGGTGGTCAGGCATTGGAACAGGCTGCCCAGGGAGGTGGTGGAGTCGCCATCTCTGGAAGTGTTCAAGAAACGTGTGGATGTGGCACTTCAGGACATGGTTTAGGGAACATGGTGGCGCTGGATTAATGGTTGGACTTGATGATCTTGAAGGTCCTTTCCAACCTTAGTGATTCTGTGATTCTGTAGCTACTCCAATTATCCGTGAAGATTACGATACCGGGAACTGCAGGCATTCAGGTTTCTGGAAAGGGCTTGTTCAGGCAGTGAGGAAACACGGCGAGTGATGGAAGCTCTCTGGAAATCCTCTAAGGCGAGACCGGTTCTGTGTGTTGCTGCAATGGCTGAAGGGAGTGCAGGGGACAGAGAGATGCCCTTCCTGGCCTGGAGGAGGCCGGCATTGTGCCTGGGAGCCCTTGGGGAAGGTGTGCTGCGGCCCACCATGTGCATGCAGCCGGCGGGATCCTGGAGGGACGCCAGGCCACGGGCCTTGGCTCGTGTTCCTCGGCGCTGGTGCGAGCTGCGTGAAAAGCAAAGGCCGTAAGCGTCCTCTGCAGCACCTGCACAAACACACCGGAGGGAGACTGGTGGCTGGGGTGGCCCAAATTCTGCGTCAGTCTTCACAAGGAGCGACACGGCGGCCGCTTCCTCGCGCAGCTGCGGTCAGACCTGCCAGGGAGCCGGGCGTTTGGGTAGGAGCCGCACGCTCGCCCCTCTCCCTCTGCAGCCTGCACTCGAAGGAAGGTGTACTTCTTCTGCTTCACGAATACTCGCTTTGGCAGCAGTCCGTTCAGGTGAATCAAGAGCATCCTGTGTGCACAAGAAGCGCAGTGGGGTTGCGGGCAGGTCTAGGCTACGTACCCTGGTATTAGGCGAGACTTTGTGTTTGGTACCAACATATGTTCTCTGCTCAGCCAGCCTCCTTGCTGGGTCCTGCAGGAGACCTGAATGTCACCTAGTGACCTCCGGCTCAAAGGAGAAAATAAATCAAGCACTAAAAAAAACGCTGGAGTATTTTTGTGTCATAAGGAGGGAGAGGTGCAGTCCTTACCACCTCTACTCTTTTAAATATTATGTTTTGAAAGCAAAATTAATGCCCCTTTATATAGTTCTTTTTCCAAATCCTGAAGGAGCAAACGTCCCTACTCAGAGGAGACTGCAGGCACTACGGAACCAATGCTACGTGCATGGGGTCAGCCAGAGCACGCGGCACTTCCCTTTTCTCTGGCTGCCTGCTGCTCCTTGCCCGCTTTCTCGGAGATTTCTGGTGCACAGCAGCTTGCCTGCTTTCTGCTCCTGTCTCTGCTGTTGGCCTTGGAACTCCTCTGCAGGTCTATCTGCATAGGTCCTTGGGGGACGGGGTGGCTTCTGTCGGGAGTTGGTGGCCAGGACCGCATAGCGCTGCTCTACCACAAGCAGGTTTCCGGTGTTGCTTTCCGACTTTTGATTTTCCTGAGTGAGTAACTTGGATTGATGGCAAGTGTTCTGGGTTTCATTTAACTTCTATTTGTAAAGCTGATTATCTTTTTTTTTTTTTTTTTAGGCTTTATACTAACAATCAATCACGTGCCCTTGGTGTAATGAGATCCCAAGACTCATTAGGCCATGAAGTAATACCGTGATATAATGATTAAACACAATGTTTCTGGGTGTGGTGAATGCTGCTTCAACCCCTGCGCCTTAAAAATCCCCTCCTTTGGAGGGGACGGTAGCTAAGGAGCCCCAGTGACTGATAGGCTCCGGCTGCTCTGGGGAAGCTGGTTTGCTTTGTAAAGAGTCATCGCCAAGAACCCGGAGCGGAAAACCTTTGCAGCAGAGTTAATGCCTGATCAGGTTCCTGTATTTTTTCTTTAGGTGTAGGTCAGGAGAAAATAAAAGTTATTAAGAGTTGATTGAAATCCTACAAAGCTGTACTCTTTCTTTTGATTTTGAACCTGGTTATCTTGTTAAGGGAGGGTGAGTGTTTTGCCTTTCGTAGTGTCTTGTAGCAGCAACAGCTTCTGTTATAGACAGCAGTGATTCAAGGAGTAACAGAGAGAAAATCACGCTCTTGTTAGGAACAAGAATTGTTTATCCATCAATTCTGCAGTGACACTGAACAGGGCAAAAATCCAACTCTAACTTGCATGATTTTCACAAGTCCTTTACACCATACTTACTAGATCCTTTACGTTTTAATATCTAGCTGTGGTAATCTTCTTGTTTTCTAGTCCACTGACACTCCAGATCCATTGAAAAAAAAGTATTTGCCTGGAACAGGACATGAAGTGGAAGAAAAGGTAACAAAACTTTTACGCTCAGTTTGCACAGAGTTGATTTCTAATTTTAGTTATTAGAAGCCTGACAATCAGTTTTTGCTTTAATACACGTTTCATGGTTTTATGATCACCCAAGATTTGTGAACGTTGCACAGTTTGGGGGCTAGTAAATAAGCAATAACCGAGATTGAGAAATCTGTAAGAGTTGATTGGAGGAAACAGCAGAACTTGGTCCCTGCCAGTCTTGCAGCATTCCTAAATCATAGAGCCATAATTTTCATAAGTACTTCTACTACTTTGTTATGCCTACCTGTAATTCAATAAGCATATGCAAAATGTTCCATCAGCTTTTAAGTAATTGGTTCCCTAATTAGCATTTGTTTAACCTTGGAAGATTACAGAGCTGTCTTGAAAACAATGTATATGATTTTCTTTTCTTACAGGAGATGTTTTCTCCCTTCTTTTTTTTTTTCTGTCTTCTTTTTCCACTTGGATTGTGCCAAATACCAGTCTCGGGATGATAGCTCGGTGACTTATGGGAGAGACTGATTACAGGCTCACTCATACACGTCTAGACATACAGTGCCACTGTATTTATTCATGAGAGGAGTCTTACTAAATCAATTCATATTTGCACTTTCTGAACCCAAATATTTCAGGGGCAAGAGAAAAAAAAACACCAATCAAAGCCAGTATTGTCTTACATTATTTTTTTGCTGGTCGTTGGTGCTAGCTTGGACAACTCCACATGACTGTGGAGGGAAAGTTTTCCGCAGGCGCTGTGCCAGCCCGAGATCCGATACTGTAGTCCTCTCCCGTGCAGATAGTACAGCTCTGTAACTGTTCTGTTATAATGCTTAGATAGGTCAATCTGATTTGCTCTTGCCTCAAGTGTATAATCTAAATTATTTAAAGATGTAGATATTTTTCCCACAGTAAGCAAGCTTTAAAATGTCTCAGTGTTTGATGTTGCTTAGAATTCTGCCTCTGCCCTTCCCATTCCAAACAACTTCTGAGTGGAGCTAAACTGTGAAAAAACTTCAGTTGGAATGGTCTAAGTAATTTTTAAGTGAAAAGTATAAAAACGTGTAGTACTGAAAATAGGAAGATACTATAGCTGTAACGTTCAAGATTTGTATAATGGAAAAGCAGGGCTTGAAATCTTTTCTGCTAGTAAGTCCTTTGAATTCAAAACTGCAAAGGCTTTTGGGGCGTGTGTGCACGCGTGTATTTTTTTTACTTATTTATTTATTTATTTATATGGAACAAATAGCTTAATAATAGCTTCTTGCGTTTGTGATACAAACAGGTCACTCCAGTCAAATCATCTCGGCCAAAAAGACAATTTTCCTGTTCTGGCACTATTGAAACAATCAATTTGGATGCAGTTCCCCAGGCTGTTGCTCGTCTAGACAACAGTGCAGCTAAACACAAGCTGTCAGTGAAGCCAAAAAAGCAGAGGATGTCACGAAAGCACAAGAGATTAACAAAGGTATTGAATTACTGGTCAAATAGCGAGAGGAGGGGGGTTGCTTTTGAAGCCGGGTAAAAAATAACCATAACCGAGCGCACCAGGAGCAACTATAGACAGAGAACTCTCTTAAGATGCGATTAACACTGCTGGAGTTAGCTATTGAAAGCTTCTTCGACAAATCTTGTTTCTTCAGGGAAAAACAAAGTGCATGCTTCTTTCATTTTATCTTGAAATCAAAATAGAGACCTAAAGATGAAACCCTAGCTGGAGATAAGATGCAAAGACATTTTCATATAGCCAGTTGAGACAAATACTACTTTTACACTGGGTAAAAGTAGTACTTCCACTAGGATTTTACACTGGGACAGCTTTCTGATTCTAGTTTTCCTAGTAAGAAATTTAAGTCATAAAGGTCTGAAGGATATCTGCCACTGTTAATGCTGATCTGCAATCAGATAGTGCAAAATTTGGTTGGGTTTAAAAATAGATTCTGAAAAGCTGGCATCGGTTCTGACAGTGATAGTATCATTGTCTTGTAAGAAAGAATAAGACTTAAGTAACACAGCTCTTGCTACAGCTAGAGTGAATTATCAAATCCTTGCTTTGTACACTTAACTGCAGTTTATTTTGTTTTTTCATCCTGACATCTTACCAGTGCTCGTAAACAGGACAAGACTATTCAACTAATACAGGGTTCAGGAGAGGCCACTGTCCTTTCTTCCACACCATTGTGCTTGCGTTTATCCCTCTTGCAATGAAGAAATTATATTTAAACTGCTTGTTTATACAGAATGTTTAACTGGAGCCAAATGATGGCTCAACAAATGATAGCTAGGCAGGGCATTAGCTGAGCTGTCTTCCTCACGGCGAGTGCTGGGAAGCTCTCTTCAGGTGCAGCTCGTCTTCAGACCATGTTGCTACAGAGACAAGGAATGAGCTGTGAAGAAAATCTGCATTCAGTTTATTGCAGGTATTGCACCCACAAGCCAGGGCTGTGGGGCAGGCACGGACAACCAGTCAGCAGTTAGCACATCCCTTGGAACAGTGCGGTATTGCTGGGGAGCGCTAGGTTCTCTGTCCATGCGTGGTGCCACGGTTCCTGCAATAGAACTGGAGCCTCAGCACAGCTAATGAGGAAGATATCCTGGCTTGGGATTTGTGAAAAGCAACCAAATTGTGTTTCCCTGAGCAGTGTTCTTTCCTGGCTAGCATTGCAGAGCTCTTTTCTGCAGGCAACAGCTTCTGTCTCTGCAAGTAACAGCTAGATTTGCCATGAAAAACCTGGCAAAACAATGCCCTTAAGGAGGTGCTAATTATTGCAGGCTTAAGTAGTAGAACAGGCATATGAAATTTGCGCTCTATTCCTTGGGCTTCTGTAAATTTGGAATGGCAGGTCTGAATCTGGATTATCTCATCTGAACTCGAGAAGTGGGCTTATGTGAACCTTGTGAGGTTCAACAAGGCCAAGTGCAGAGTCCTGCACCTGAGTTGAGGCAACTCCCAGTATAAATACAGGCTGGGGGATGAAGGGAACAAGCTGGTGAATGAAAAGCTGGACATGAGCTGGCAATGTGCACTTGCAGCCCAGAAGGCCAACTGTATCCTGGGCTGTATCCACAGCAGCATGGCCAGCAGGTTGAGGTGGGTGATTCTGCACCTCTACTCTGCTCTGGTGAGACCTCACCTGTAGTACTGTGTCGAGCTCTGGAGCCCTCAGCACAGGAAAGACATGGTCCTGTTGGACCGAATTCAGAGAAGACCACAAAAATGATCAGAGGGATGGAACACCTCTCCTATAAGGACAGGCTGAGAGAGTTGGGATTGTTCAGCCTGGAGAAGAGAAGGCTCTAGGGAGACCTTATTGCAGCCTTCCAGTACTTCAAGGGGGCTTCTAAGAAAGATGGGGACAGACTTTTTAGTAGGGCCTGTAGTGATAGGACAAGGGGTAATGGATTTAAACTAAAAGAGGGCAGATTCAGACTAGATCTAAGGAAGAAATTTTTCCCAGTGAGGGTGGTGAAACACTGGCACAGGTTGCCCTGAGGGATGGTAGATGCCCCATCCCTGGAAACACGCAAGGACAGGTTGGACGGGGCTCTGAGCGACCTGATCGAGTTGAAGATGTCCTGCTCATTGCAGTGGGGGTTGGACTAGATGACTGTTAAAGGTCCCTTCCAACCCGAAGATTCTATGATTCTGTGTACACCAAATGGTGATTCAATATTTGGCATTATACTGTTATCACCATTGGGATGCTTGCTTTCTTTTAAAGGCTATCATCGGAATAGGTGAGAGGCATGGGATCTGTGACAATGTGATCCTTAAACTGAGTTTGGTGTCTTGGCTCTGGATCTAAATAATTGTTTTTAAAAAAATTGGTTTACATTTGCAACTGATTGTTTGTTCACTGTAAAGAATAACAAGCCAATAGGCAATAGTCAGTAACTCCAAACTTCTCTCCCAATTTTAGGGATCACAAAGTTTAACGATAACTGAATTTGAGCCAGAGGACCTAGAAACTCATCTGTATGGAGACAGATACCCAGGTTATAATGGACACATCATAGCAGACAAGCTAATCCAGAACAGAGATGAGCAGAAGCAGCTTCAGCTGGCAGAGGAGAAAAGAATTGAAGATCACTGGGGCATCTTTGAGGCTGAAAGGATAAGGCAGATTGTAGAAATGGAAGAACAAAGAGAAATGGAAGAACAAAGGTGCCAAGAACTTGAGCAGATGCAAAAAGAGCAGGAGAGAAGGCGTTGTGAAGAAAAGAGGAGCCAGTATCTCCTTGAAGAAGAGTCGTCTTTGGAAATAGAAGAGCAAACATGCCATAAAGAAGAGAGAAGACTTCTGGAGGCTGAAAAGAGGCAAGAGCTTGAGGAGCAGAGGCAGAAGGAGTTGGAGGAGCAACAGGAACAAAAGCTGGAGGAGCAGAAGCTCCAGGAACAAGAGGAGCAACAGGGACAAGAGCTGGAGGAGCAGATGCGCCAGGAACAGGAGGAGCAACAGAGACGAGAGCTGGAGGAGAAGAAGCTCCAGGAGTGGGAGGAGCAACAAAGACGAGAGCTGGAGGAGCAGAAGCTCCAGGAGCAGGAGGAGCAAGAGAGACGAGAGTTGGAGAAGCAGAAGCTCCAGGAACAAGAGGAGCAAGAGAGACGAGAGTTGGAGGAGCAGATGCTCCAGGAACAGGAGGAGCAACAGAGACAAGAGCTAGAGGAGCAGAAGCTCCAGGAGCAGGAGGAGCAACAGAGACGAGAGCTGGAGGAGCAGAGGCACCGGGAATGGGAGGAGCTGAGACATCAGCAGTTGGAGGAGCAGAAGAATCAGGAAAAGCAGAGATGCAAGGAGTTGGAGGAGAAACAGAGACGAGAGCTGGAGGAGCAGAAGACGCTACAGCTGGAAGAATTAAGGCAACATGAGATTGAAAAACAGTGTCAAGAGGAAGAAGAAAGAAGTTGTCTGGAGGAACAAAAAGAACTCGAGGAACAAAATAAGGAAGAAAAGCAGAGACAAGAGCTAGGAGAGAAAGAGCTTCAAGAAGCTGAAAGAAAACTGAAGCAGGAGAAAGAAGCTGAGAGCCTCAAACAGCAGAAGAAACAGGAGGAACAAAGGCAGCATTTGAAGGAGAAAGGAGAAAAGACAGAGAAGGAGCAACCTCAGCAAGTAATGGATACAAAAAAGAAACGGGAAGAGCAGAGAAAACACAAGCTCACAAAACAAATGCACATGGAAAGTGCAGAGGGTGTGCAACAAGATGAATTGAAGCAGCAAAAGGAACAAAATGAACAAGAGTGGAACAAACTGGAGGAGCAGAAGGTAGACACAGAAGGACAAAATCTTCAGCAAAACCAACAAGAAAAATCCTTGGAACAGCAACAGGACAAGGATCAGTTGTGTTCTGGAGGGGCTGATAGGCACCTGGTAGCGGAGAAGCTCCAAGAAGGATTAAGATCTCAAAAGTTCAAACAGCCAGAAAAAGGAAATAAAACAGCAGAAGTCTTAGCCCAGGAACTGAAGAGAGAAGTTGAGGCTCAGGAGCAAAAGCGAACAGGGGAAGAACTTAGGTGGCAAGAGGTAGATGAAAGACAGACTGCATCCAGACCCTTCACATTTCAAGTATCTTCTGGAGATAAACAGATCATATTTCAGAAAGTAAATCTGAGTCCCGTCATGCCTGTCAAAGGAGCAGGACTCTCTTCTCCATCCATCAAAGACTACAGGATGCATGCTTCCAGCAAGGGCTCTCATACACTCCCGTCATCTGTGTGTGTACCTCATACAGCTATTTTGGTTACGGGAGCACAGCTGTGCGGCACAGCAGTTAACTTGAACCAGATAAAGGACACAGCTTGTAAATCGTTACTTGGCTTAACGGAAGAGAGAAAAAGTGTAGACATTCCTTCACCAGAGAAGGCCCAGAAAAAATCCCAGGATCCCAAACCCAGCAGCAGTAAAATGAAATATGCACAAGAGACTCTGAACAACCAGGCTGTACTAGCTGAGTGGGCCTCTATCCGCTCCAGAATCCTAAAGAACACAGAAAACAGCAAATATAACGAGAGAGACCGAGTAAGTGTCTGCAGACACAGCGATGACTGGACACCCCGAGGACGAGGTGCTCCCCATGGCAACTTGAGGAAGACCTTATCTGCAAATGCAAAGTTCTCGATAACACCAGCATGGCAGAAATTTTCAGAAGCTTCAAAAACCAATTCAGACGCTGAGAATGTAAGTGCAGCAAAAGGCAATGAAACAGCGGCTGTAGGAAGAACCACTGGCTCATCCACTGATTTGAAGGAGGATGTGGCTTCCACTTTTAAGGATAACTTAGCTGAAAAGGGTAAGGAGAAAACGGAAACCCATAGTGAAGTGACAGACAACACAGAAGGCTGTAAATTTGCAAAAGATCTTCCATCTTTCCTCGTTCCAAGTTTTCCTCATTCGCCGGGTAAAGAGTTACCCCAGGCAGAACTTCCCAGTGCTCTGGAAAATCAGCAGAATAACAGCACAAAAAAAGCAGATAAACCAGCACCAAACGGAGAAGAAAATGTTTCTCCTTTTGGGATAAAGTTACGAAGGACAAACTACTCTTTACGTTTTCATTATGATCAACAGGCAGAGCAAAGGAAAAAGAAAAGATACAGTGCAGGAGATAGTTTTGACGGTGTGCCTGACCCACTAGTTACAACAGAAGGTGAGAAAGAATCCACTGTTTTTGCTCCACAAGAGACTACATCCCCTGGCATGGGAAGAGTGAACGTCCCTGGTAATGTAAAAGATTCAAAAGACTCTTCAGTTACTGTGGTGGAGATGTCGCAACCAGTGGGCACACCAGTGGTCCTACCAGCCACTGGCCAGAGTGCTTTACCCCCTCATGAGAAACCAGCATGCAAGTCACTGGTCCCACAGAAACCTGCTTTAGCTCCAAAGCCAACCAGCCAGACACCACCATCATCTCCTCTCTCTAAAATGAACAGATCAAACCTAGCTGACACGCTTGGGCAAAGGTTGGTTAAAGCTGAATCAGAAGGTGGCTGGAGAAAAGACGACAGAGCAAATGCAGTGCACCCCACACCATCCAGTGAGTACAAAAATGAAGAGGAAGAAATCAGAGAAAAAAAGTCATTTTTCCCATCCATAAGTATCCCATGGAGGGAAAAAAATGACAAAAAGCCTGAGCCGCTGAAGAAAGGTATGTGTTTTTCAAAGGTCATCTAGTTATTTGCATTTTCAAAATGAGATATGGGAGGATCAGAGGAAGAAATTTGGTCTTAAGATAAAATTTTTACTTGGGACGTTATTTGTGGAGTACCACTACTTTGCTTTGGGTTGTCTGAATGAATGGGACTTCCCATTCCCAAAATTTAATTCAGATACACAGAAACTCGGCATGACCAGTGTCAGTTCAGCTTAAGGAAGTTAATTGCAAGGCGGTAACTGCAGTGTGTGTGTGTTTTCTTGGCAGAGATGTTACCTAGTCAGTCAGGTGGGAGACTCTGTGCTCCATGTAATGTTGTCATCAGAGCAAAGGAAGTAATTTTTATAATTTACATTATATTGTATCTATTTTTTAGGGGTATATTATCCAGCTTAAAAAATATTAGGATCTGGGTCCCTTATATTGCCTATCCTGGGGCAAATTCTCTACTATCTAACCCAATATAGCTGAGGACAGGAGTCTGCATTTCAGAAGCACTCTTCAGTAATAGAAACAATTACAGTAGCCATAGTGGCTCTTCAGAGGAAGGTTGAAAGCCTCTGTGTCCTGAAATAGTATTCTGTGCAAGAGTAAAAATTACCCTTTCAGCGTAAGGACGCTCAAAAGAGCAAGGCAGGAATTCAGCATTTAGTTGGGACATCCCAACATTCTTTCCATTCTTGAATTTTGCAAGTATCAAGACCCTTCTGAAACTATATCTCAGTGGAACTGCTGCTTATTTTTACAGTTTTTCGCACTTTTCCTTTTCACTTCCATTTTTAAATGAGGATTTATGGAGACTAGTTGGAGCCACAGCTGGAGGCCTGGGAGACTAGGTCCTGGGCCAGCTGAGGGCTTCTGTGCTCACTGAGCTCTGCAGGAGCACCTTTGCACCCTAGTCCGGCTCCCTGCCACTCTATACTGGCTGCTAACCCCAGTTTCATGCAGGGTAGAGAAAAGTCAAATGCTCAAGACTCTATACTGGCTGCTAGCCCCAGTTTCATGCAGGGTAGAGAAAAGTCAAATGCTCAAGTGATGATTTGAAGGAAAAAAAAAAAAAGATTTTTTTAAGAGGGGTTGCATTTACAGGAGTACATCATTTCAGCTCCCTTCTTTTGGCCAAAGTTTGGACACTCCTCCTCCTTTGATTATGGCTGGAAGAGCAGGCAACTGCAGTATGTAGTGGCTGGATCCCTTTCACTTAAATATCTCACACAGTGTGAATATTTGTAGTAAATTAGGCTCTAAGTCTAAGTGTCTGGGGTAGGCGTTTTCACCAAAAACGGGATAAATTTGGACAGCTGTATGAGTGTGTTGAATTAGGCCTTGTTCCTGAGGAAAAAAATCTGTTTCAGGATTTGACATACAGTCCACGAAGGTCTATGATGGCATTCAATGGGCTTAGCTACCAAGTTTTCACAAGGTAGAGAAGTTGTACGGGTTTGCTTCAGACAAGAGATGTGCATTACTTAACCAATTCTTTTCATGTTTTCTTTCAGAAAAGCCAGTCCTCCAGAGCAGGCACTCTTTAGATGGCTCTAAATTGATGGAAAAAGTTGAAGCTTCACAACCACTTTGGATTACATTAGCTCTGCAAAAGCAAAAGGGATTTCGTGAGCAGCAGGCTACACGGGAAGAGAGGAGACAAGCCAGAGAGGCAAAGCAAGCAGAGAAGCTGGCTAAAGAAAATGTAAACAATCTTTAGAAACCTGCTCATTAGAAATACTGATACCATAATTATAACTGTTAGCCAGTTTTATTATGTGAAAGGGAATTTTTTCTATTTTTCAGTTTTCAAGATTTCATAAAAGCTAAAGTGACAGTGAGTAAAAAGTAGGCTGGAGTTCCCTTTTGCAAAACTGAGACCTCCAGGAGAAAATACTGTGCAAAGGTGTGACAATTTTAGTGTAAACTCCGATGCTTTAGTATGAGTTGCTAGTTAACAGCAATCATAAGCATGACCACTGTGCAGGTGGCAGAACAGAAAAATTTTATGCAACACGGTGCTTTCAAAGCTTGAGTAAATGAGATGTTAAGCCTTAGTGCTTGGGGAATAACAGCTGGAATACTCATTTATAGGTGAAATTAGTATGTTTTAATTTATTTTTATAGTAACATGTATTGTTTGGATAAAATGCAGACGAATGAAAGAAATGAACTGTCATGTGAAACATCTAAATGGCTAAAGCACACACTGAATTAAAGTATCACTTCTCTCCTGTTCTCTGAATAGCTATTTACTATGCATTGTTTTCTGTTAGTAAGAAAAACATTTCTACTCACAGCCCAGAAGCGATGTTACACAAACAGCGATGCCGTATATAAATACTGCAGATGGTAAAAAGAGAGATTATGTGGATAACTAAGTGTATTTTGCTGTCTGTTATGAGACCCACATTTCTGGTGGACATGTGCATAATTACATACATAGATAACTGGCAGAAGACGACAGCAGTGGGTGTGAAGTGGGTGTGAAGTTGCCCACAGATGCACACTTGTTTCAGTGCTGTATTTAACAGGTAGGGTTGGCTCAAACTGTTCAATATTTTGCCTGAAATGACAACATGACAAATTTAACTTTGTGGGGTTTTTTTACAGTCTCTAATAACTGTTAGTTTTAGAAATACCAGAGTATTTTGGTCCTTTGCTGAAAAGGAAGGTTAAGGAAAGGACAGGTGATGAATGAAAGCATTGAGTGTGACATTTCTTACTTGTAGCCATTACACACCAGACTTTCTCATTTAGCAGTTTTCCTTCTCTGTTCTAGGCTGCTGTAAGTAATCAGTCAGATAACAAAAGCAGCAGCAGCAGCAAAACAAGCACACTGCAGAAATCTACAACTCAAGAAGGGGAGAAGAAAATTGAGACTGCTGTGTCAAGACTAGAAAGAAGGGAACAGCTAAAGAAGTCGAACACCCTTCCAACTTCTGTGACAGGTACAGTGAGAGATTGAGATTTACTCTAGGACTAATGCACTTCAGAAATAGTATTGCATGTTTTTGAGAATGAATGTTTTTTTTTCTTCTATACTAGCCCTAGAATTACAAATGCATTTGTTTTCAGCAAGGGGCAACCCAACTTATCTCAGCCCCATGTGCTGACTGTATGCTGGATGTACGTAATTTTAACAGGTTTTTAAAGCTGTATTACTTACTTTGCTTAGAAATGCTCCAGTTCAAGTTTAAAAAAATTAGGCTTTCTCCACAAACCATATCCAGCAGTATTTGTGGAACATGACTAATGCATATTAGGGGGATTTGATTTACTGTAAATTGCAATTGCAGTACTGTTTAGGTTGGGTGTTAGCACAGAGGGGCAACGATACTTAACTTCTGCAAAGTTTATTTGTGTAGGAAGTGAAGCATATTGTGTTCCCACACCCAGTTTGCCAAGGAGAAATACCCCAGAATGTTTGGAATGAGTATTCTCATTTAATTCAGAAAATGCAAAAACTAACCAAGTCGGTTGAAAGTAGCCTGTCACTTTGACTTCTCCCTCCCAGTCAAGTATTTGGTATGGAAGGTTGGACCCAGAACAATTACATATTCAAAAGGCAGGCACAGTAAAATAAATACTTCCCCAGAGGGCATAATATTTGGGGTGGTATAAGGTGATTGTTGATACAGAGACATGCCTAATATTTCTTTAGCCAGCATTATTCCTAGGCAAAAGGTTTGGGGAAGGGCACAGCTAGGTGTTGAAGAACTTTTTACAAGTGGCACAGTAAATAGTGTGGGCTTCTTTGAAAGTAAATCCACGTATCAGCCAAATCTATTCAGTACCACTCTGAGCCAAGAACTACAGAATGCAACCATTGAAAGCAATGAGGTAATTAATTTATCTGATCTGTAATAGTAAAGGCTAAAGCAGTGCTACTCCTACATTCCAGAACAGACTGTTCCAAGCTGAACAACCCCTACGCATGCCTATACTCAGTTGGTTCACAGCTGCATGCCAGTGCAAATATCCCCGAGAATTTGTTTTACCTGATCAAGTCCAACCCCAGATGTTACTTTAGAGGTCCCTTCCAACCCAAACGATTCTAAGATCTCACATAATAGATTGCCCAAAACATTCCCGCTCCCCGTTAGCCTGCTTCCAGTGTGGAAGCTTTGGAGGAGGCCAGCTGGAGAAGCCCTACAGCATTCCTGACAGCCTGGGTAACAGGGATCTAGAGCAGGCCTACTGGGAAAGATTCAGCAGAGTGAAGTTATGCTGTACATGGCCAATTCTAGCAACAGTCAAACTCCAGCACAACAGATGATGCCTAATTAGATCAAAGAAGGGCCAAAACCCAATTATCCTTGGTCGGTCTGTCTGCACTAGAATGAGAGTTTCAGTATATTCAGAAAGAACTACCAATTTTGAGCTACCTCACACGAAAGCATAGAACTGTGTTGGCTCTAAAGGAAATACTGACTGGATTTCCATGTGGCTACTGGAGCCAGGCAGCCATTATCAATTGCACAATTATACTACATACAAGTATTTGTCTATTTGGATGATGACAGTGATTTGGGTATCCCACAATTAGGAGAGTATTTAAGGCAGAAGACCAGGCTAGAACATGTTTAAGTTTGCTGAGTCCTTCTCTAAGGACATTAAAAAAACACCCAGAACTTGAAGAAGTTGGTATATTTCAGACTTGCACTTCAGTCTTGTACAACAGGAACTGATAAGAGGGTATAACCTTTAAAAGAGAAAAAAAATACCATAACCTTTAAAATAATTAGCTTTTCAAAGTGTCTGTCAACAGCAATAGCGGTGGCTACTGTTTACCTATAGCTAAAAGATGTACTGAAAAGAAACATTTTTTGCCATCCATGTAGTTTTAAACGTTTTTAAAACATTCAAAACCTGAAAATGAAATGCAACTAAAAGTAATTTGGACTGAATCTGAACATTTAACAAAAAATTCTTTTTGGCTCATAGAAGTTAAGGTGTGTAAAGGGAGATAAGTGAGGAGCTATTTTGTAACTAAGATTTCAGAGTTATTTCATAGGTTTCAGATTAGCTAGGACTCATTTCATATCCAGGCTGCCTTCCAGGGTATTCACTGTCTCAGAATTAAACAGTCTTCCCACCTGACTTCTACAATACACTTCTGCAGTTCTGCTCTGTAAAGTTGCTTGTTAGAAATTAGTTGCTTATTCAACACATTTTCTTGCTGAGACAGCTGTTTGTCTTAAATTTACTGTTTTAAAGAAAAGGTAACAAACAGCTATTGGAGAAAGCTGTTTCACTTCTTCAGGATAGTCTCATGGGAGTGGTTAACTGAGGCAGAAAACTATACGACTGCTTTCTTCTCTGTGCTTATTTATGAACTCTAATCTGAAGAGGGAATCTAATTCTTGACTGAATACAGTTGGGTTACACATGTTCAGCAGCCGCATTACCACAGAGAAGAAAAACTCCAGCTTTATTTCCCGTTGTTTTGTTACATTGCAGATGTAATTAAAATACTTTACGTAAAGACGACAACTGGCAAACTGGAAATGTTCTCTCTGGATCTCACAGAGACTGATAATTTTGTCCCTGTTTTTGTGATTTACATTACTTGGAGTCACCTCTGAAAAAGGAAACTCAGCTCCTCCTAACTTGATTATCTTGCAAATACAGTAACAAGTAAGATTTAACTAAAAGAGCTGGAAATAAATATGAAGTTTTAGATCAGAACATCTTCACAGAAGAGAAGCAAAAGCTCTGGAGTAGTGCAACAAAGTACAGGGTTCAGCTAATGTTTTTTTTTTTTCTCTTCCCCTCCCCACCCCATCAAAAACAGTGGAAATTTCAGATTCTGTTCCGTCAACCCCACTGGCAAAGGAGGTGACCAAGAGATTCTCTACGCCTGATGCTAACCCTGTGTCAACAGAGCCAGCCTGGCTTGCATTAGCCAAGAGGAAAGCAAAAGCCTGGAGTGACTGTCCACAGATCATAAAGTAAACTGTAAAATTACATCTCTATTGCTATTAATTGCTTTCTTTTTATTTATTCAGCTTTTTACACATGACAAAACTGAAAATGCATGTATTCAAGGACTGAAAACTGATTACCATTTTGCTCTAGCTCACTGTAAAGTCTACTCAAGTCATATATTCCATTGCTTTGACAAATAGCTAAATGTGGTCACAACAAAAATTTCAGAGCCAGACTCTCTAAAAAATGTAAGAATGCTCAGATACTGGATGTAAATTTCAGTAAGTATCAAAATAAGGGCCAGAATTTCAGTTCAGAAGCTCCTTAAATTCTGTGGGTATTCGGCTCTGGAATTTTAGATCTCTACACTTAAGGAGAGATCTCAGAAATTTTTTTCAACATTCCATTGTTGAAAATTAAGGCAAGATGCATGTTCCCTTCTCTTATTCCTATTTTTTTTTTAAAGTGTTAAACTGTATGAACTGTCAGTTTTACCTGCTATTTGAAAGCTTCTTCCCTAATGAAGAACTTTGGGAGATACCATTCCACCTGCAAATGATAAGTAGAAAGATGGTACCATCCAAATGCTGAGGTAGTTTCTTTCATCATAGGACTGATACACTACCTCTATATTCCCTTGCTCCTAGGAAGAAAACAATTCATCCTACTTAAAGGAAGAACCATTATTTGAACAAAAGTCAGAAAGTTTTCAGAAAGAAGCCAGAGAGTCAGTGTTCCTTCTAGTCATTTAAGTGCATCACTGTTTGTGCTCGGGCACATTTAAGATGCACACAGTAATTGCAGATGACAACTTTAAATCAATTGACTGGAACTAAAATAAGTAAAACTATTCCTGTGCTCATGTAGCTGTAGAATTAGTCTCAGTAAGTTCCCACAGGAGTAAGACTTGAAGAACCGAAGTTAACTGGGAACTGAAAACCAAGACAGTGAGTGTCAGGTTTAACTCAGCATTCCTCCTGATCTTACTCCATGTGCAACTTCAGGTAGTTCAGATAACTTCCTGTACTTTGACCAATACAGCCAGAACACTTCAGAAAGAAGTTCACTTACCCCATCTCAGGTATCTGCTGTGGCAATTGAACACTTCATTCTTGTAACTAAAATAGAAATGTTCACTCCCCTCCCTCTTACAAAAAAGGATAAAGCCCACAGTATAATAAAAATTTTACTATCCTCAACATCCCACAGAAATAGCTGGGTCTACATTTTAAAAAGTCAGCCTAGTAAATAAATCTGTAACACACCCCACTTTGTTTTTACAAGGACGTCTGTAACAAATTTGAACATCTCCTCTTTACAACCATAAGGCTCAAAGGAACCTGTAAGGTTTCATGAGGAGAAATTGCATCAATATAGAATGATACTATATATGTTTCATGGAAGTATTACTTTAGCCAAACTGCTGTATGCAGCATGAGGAGTAGCACTTTAAATTATGCAGAAAACAGAATGAAACCATGAAACCTGTCGTATCCTCCTGTTCCAAGAACAAAAAAGGACTTGTCAGCAGAAGTCCTTACTGAATACACTATTCCCCACCAAACAAACACCAATGGTTCAGTATCATGGTTACAATAGCACAAACACAATGGATGTTTGTTAGATTGAGTAGATGTACAGCAGCAAGATGGGTTTTCTTGGGTCTCTTAAGCCCATTGGTTTTGCTCAGTTTCATATTTAAAACCAGAATCTCTAAAGTAATTTTTTACCCTTAATATAAGTATTTAAAATGTTTTATACAGAGATGGGGCAATGCTGCTCTCAAATGCTTTGGAAAAAAACCCCAGCGCCTTCAAAGTCAAATCTCTGCAAGCTTATCTCAAGAAAGAATTGGGCCCATAATTATTTTTGCTCTGCTAGCACCATGAATTAGTTAAATTTACACTTTTTCTGAGTTTATAAGCCTGCAGTATATATGTGTAATTACAAGAACTAAACTGCCTGAAATCCATCTTTATGATTATTTCCTGGGAGAAGGAGCCAGGCAGAAATACAGAGAAGGTGAAGTAAATCTGGATTAAAGAATTAAAGAAACTGGTATTCTGAAAAGCATAGCAAAATTAGGTGCTATTGTGCATGACAAAGATGCAGTTTTCCAATACAATACATTTACAGCACATAGAATAGGGCTTTCATTAAGGATGGTCTTAATCTAATAAAGCTTCAAAGCAGAGGTTTTTTTCAACCATAAAGGTATCTAGTGTAATAATGGAAACTGTATTATGTACAGTACTTGATGGAAACATTTCTAAAGCGTACATGTTCAACAGTGACATTTCATGTTAAATTAACAAAAATTTGCACTAAATACCAATGAAGTGAAGTGTTACTTTGCTTTAGCTTTGTTGCAACCATTTCTGATAAAGTGTTGGAAACCTGTAAAAATAAAACCAAAACATTACTACCGAGTTTAAAACGGCAAAGATGTTTTAAGAACCGAACAAACCACTATGTAGTATATTGTCTCAATTTTTTGTAACTTATACACACAAAATACCATTTCTTCTGACAAGGTTATATATGATTAACCTCTATGTTCATATAGTAATGTATAAAAACTACAAGATGTATAATTGTGGGGTATTTGTTGTGTACTTTTTTAATTTTTCAAATGTTTTAAAGTGCAATTGTTTATTATACTAATGTCATTTTAATTCTTATTAAACTATAACCCAGTCAAAATTATCTAATCAATGATGCATGTATTCTGTTTCTCCTTTCGCTAGTTGTGTAGTTCAGGTTTGCTTTAGAGCTAGACCTTTTTACAGTGCTGTGTCTTCCCTATGCGTTTCTGCTAAGGATAAAATGGCGGAACCAGACATGATGAAGCAACACAGCCAGTACAACTTCTAATTTACTTCTTAATTCAAGATGTTAGAATTCAAAGTGGATGGCTCATCAGAGACAGTGAGGTAATAGCTTCTACTGTAGTTCTTTTGGAAGACTCATAACCAGGAAGATGCTCTCAGTTAAGTGTACTTTTGTCACTGCAAATACTTGATTACCAAGACCACTGGTAATTCCCTTTAAGGCGTTAAAGACAACTAAAACCAATTTACACAACCCTTTATTAATAAATATTTCTCTGTAAAGATACTGTAGAGGGCATTCATTCAAATCTCTTAAAAAGTTATTTGACAATGGTTGATTTGAGCAGTGCACACTTCATCTTGGAACTCATACTGTACCTGTCATTGACATTTAATTAATATATACATGTAAGTATATTCTGCATTTTAGAATACAAGAAGTAACTCCTACTGACTTCAACGGAGTTTAAGTATATGCTTGACTGAATTGAAGCCAAGGAGGGCCTAGGCTCATAAAAGATAAACTACTCAGTTTATACAAACTATAATAAACAGGTCACTACTACCAGCCATATGCAATGCAGGCTATGTCTTCAGAAATCAAGTTAAAAGTTAGATTCAGAAAAGGACTTGGGTTACCTTGTGACGGCATAGAAACCTCCTCAGACTACACAAATGGAAGAGCCAGGTACAGGCTAGGAAGGAACCTCAGGGCACAGGCTAGGCTGGACTCACAGCAGGGAATACATTCCTCCCTCAGGGAGACAAGCATGTTATTCCATGCTGCAGAGTATGGCACCTTACCACAGTTTCTCCCAATCCTGCAGGTGTTTGAAGCCAAACTGCTGACTCTGATTACCTTACAACATTCAAATCCAAACCATCTGAAACATGTTCTTCCATGAATTGGAACTGGGAAATGAGGGAGGGACAGTGAAGCTTCTGGCTGGGTGCTGAGCAGCCATCCTCATTCCATCAGTACAGACAGTCAAACATCACTTTACCTACTCTGGACAATGCCTAGTGCGAAATGCTACCCAAGAAGTCTGCAAAGAGCACCTTTTGCCTACAGTAAAATAGGCAGAGAGGTAGACAGTACCTGTGAATTCTTAATTTACAAATGTAAACAATAGAAAAGAAGCAGCCTAACATCTTAGCTGTTCTTTTTTTCCTGTTATATACAAATCTAGGCAATAAACATAATCATTTCTACAGCCAACAACAAGCTTTGTTCCCCATACTACAGGGGAAGAGAAAACCTCTCCTGGAAGCTTATCTACTCCTTCTGCTGTTCCACTCTTGGCATTCAGGATCCACACTTTGCCATCTGTAGATATTGCTGCCAAAAGAATTTTGTCCTTTAAGTCATCGCTTTGAAAAACAAATGGTGTTCCATATACACTTGAAGTGGCTTCAAACTTCCACAGTAAATTACCCTCCATGTTACAACAGTAGATACAGCAATCGTGGGAGCCAAAAAATATTTCTTGCTTAGTTAAAGTTGAGATGCATGGAGATGAAAACACTGGTCCATTAGTGGGAAACTGCCAAACCTACAGAAAGAACATAACTACCCATTATCAAAGGTTGTTCACATTTTCAGTTTGACAGCAGCTGTAATTTTTTAATGGATTAATTGTTGCCAAGAGAGCATTTTATTTCAAGAGCATACTAGATTTCAGTGAGGGCTGGTAAATACTTGTCAAATTACAAGTTAAGTTTTACACACAGAGTAAGTAAGTGATAAAAGACTCATAAAATGGATGTGCAGGAGTTAACTACCTACTGTGAGGCTCACGTAAAGATGGCCAACTTGGGAAAAGAATATTCTTGGGCTGTTGCACCACAATTAACAATAAATGTTGAGAATTCTGTTAACATGCCATTCTTTGCCAAAAAGGCAAATATTCCTTTCGTAATATCGATTTCCTCTGGTCATGCTAATGAGGTGCAGATCAATACCGAACTGCTAGAGAGTACTAGAACTACTCAAGAAAATATTAGTTCTGCAACACTGCTGCAAGGAGACAGAGTGCAGGGAATGGGCTAACATACATTTTATAATCAGAAAAGGCTTAGGAATTGCCATGTATACTGCATCTCAGGCAAACAACAGAAACTGTGTCAGTTGTTTTAACACCAGATACAAACCACATTAATCTCTGAGGAACTAAAAAAAACACTGCCATTTAATTCAGTGTAAAGGCTAACACATATTTTGCCAGAATTATAATTTGACTTTTTTTTGATAAATGCAGGAACATTCTAAGAAACTTTACTTCTAAAGAGCCACCATCTTACAGAAGAGATGGCTTTAAACATGCTTGAAAAACTCCAAACACAAAACCGTACCATTTCATTTGCTGGCACTACTCTTGACCATTTACTTCGGCTGTAAGCTCCGAACTAGAAATTCTGTTACTGCAAACAGCTTGAGAGCTTGCAGTTTTGCCATGAACTGCATGGACTACCCTAGGCAGGTTTTCTACTTTCCCCTCTCTATAACAGTAAACACTTCTATTTGGTTCACAAAAATGTGTATGTTAATGATTAAACCTCAGAAAACAGTATTAATAAAGCATCTTATTCAGGGTTTTGTGATAAACATACAAAGCCCAACACCACCACTTTTACCTTTTCTCCAGAGTGAGTGTAACAATATAAGTTTCCATCCACACACCCAACACAAA